TCCTCTTGCCCCTGGTAACCACTAATAAACTTTGACCTCTATACATCTGGCTTTTCTTGTCTTTTTATATAAGTGAGGTCGTACAATATTTGTCCTTTGTGATTGACTTATTTCACTCAGCATAGTATCTTCCAGCTCCATCCATACTATAGCATGTATCAAGACTTCATTTCTCCTACTGGCCAAATAGTATTCCATTGTATGTATGTACCACATTTTGTTTATCCATTCATATGCTGATGGGCATTTAGGTTGTTTCCACCTTTTGGCTACTGTGAATAGTGCTGCAACGAACATTGGTGTACAAGTCTCTGAGTCTCTGCTTTCAAGTCTTTTGGGTATATACCTAGGAGTGGAATTGCTGGGTCATATGGTAGTTCTAGGAGCCCTGGTGGTGCAGTGATTATGAGATTGGCTGCTAACCAAAAGGTCAGCAGTTTGAATCCACCACCTGCTCCTTGGAAACCCTATGGGGCAGTTCTACTCTGTCCTACAGGGTCGCTATGAGTTGAATTCGACTCAACGGCAGTGGTTGGGTATGGTAGTTCTATTTTTAGTTTTTTGAGGAACCGCCACACTGTTCTCCACAATGGCTGTGCGATTTTGCATTCCCACCAGCAATGAGTAATGGTTCCAATTTTCCCACATCCTCGCCAACGTTTGTTATTTTCTGTTGTTGTTTTTTTTTTTTTTTAAATCTTAGTCATCCTAGTGGGTGTGAAATGATACCTCATTGTGGTTTTGATTTGCATCTCTCTGACAGGGATTCACAAGCAGAAGAGGTGGAGGCGGGGGGAGGCCTTCATTTCAAAGCCCTTGAACATCTTCCAGCATTTCCAAGTATTTGGGTAGAGCTTGTAGCCTCAGCCCAGGCCACCCCTGAGGGGCCAGGTCCATGCACGCTACTGCTACCACTCTCTGTAGCAGGTATGGTTTAGGGAAGAGTCCTACTTTAAATTTGCTTGTTGTCTTGTTGGGTGCCATCGAGTCGATTTTTGGCCCATAGTGACCCATGTGGCAGAGTAGAACTGCTCCATAGGGTTTCTTAGGCTGTAATCTTTACAGGAGCAGATCGCCAGGTCTTTTCTCCCAAAGAGCGGCTGGTGGGTTCAAACCTATGACCTTTTGGTTGGTAGCTGAGCCCTTAACCGTTGCACCACCAGGGCTCCTTCAACTTGCTTAGTGCTTTTCAGTTTTCAAAGTAATTTGAACCAGTGTCAACTCTACTGGTATACCGAAACCAAAAACAAACCAAAAAAACCCAAAACTGTTGCCGTCAAGTCGATTTTGACTCATAGCAACTGTCATGGATTGAACTGCGTCCCCCCAAAAAATGCGTGTATCAATTTCGCAGGGCCATGACTCCCAGAATTGTGTGGTTGGCCTCCATTTTGTGATTGTACTTTTATGTTAAAGAGGATTAGGGTGGGACTGCAACACCACCCTTACCCAGGTCACATCACTGATGCAATGTAAAGGGAGTTTCCCTGGGGTGTGGCCTGCACCACCTTTTATCTCTCAAGAGATAAAAGGAAAGGGAAGCAAGCAGAGAGTTGGGGACCTCATATCATTAAGAAAGCAGTGCTGGGAGCACCGGGGTTCCTGCGCAGAGATGCTCCTAGTCCGGGGTAACACTGAAGAGAAGAAGGTCGACAGAGAGAAAAAGCCTTCCCCTGGAGCTGACGCCCTGATTTTGGACTTTTAGCCTACTTTGACTATGAGGAAATAAATTTCTCTTCATTAAAACCATCCACTTGTGGTGTTTCTGTTATAGCAGCACTAAATGACTAAGACAGCAACCATATAGGACAGAGTAGAACTGCCCCATAGGGTTTCCAAGGAGCGACTAGTGGATTTGAACTGCTGATCTTCTGGTTAGCAGCCAAGCTCTTAACCACTGTGCCACCAGGGCCCCGTTTAGATATTATTTTTGTAATTTTACAACAGAGAACACAGAAATGGAGGGAAGAAATATGACTTACATGGTATTTTATAGTTACTAAGTGCCAGGTGCAGACCTAAATTCCACTGTACATATATTTTATTCAAAGATGAAAATCTGGCCTGACATGAACCTTGAGCTCTTTCAAAGGCAGGAAGGACTGAATCTCAACTGGGTAGGTGTCCTGTTTTGGTTTCCCTCAAACTACCTGGCAGTCCTGGAAACTAGAATTATTTTATTCCATCTTAAAACATTTTTCCTGAGGGTCAGTTGGATGGGCTCCATCATGTTAGCTAACATGCATGGAGAGCTTACTGTATACTCGACTCCGTTCCAAGAACCATGGGTGTTAACATATTCAGTTCTCACAACGGCCTATGAGGTGGACATCACTGATCTCTCCATTTTGCAGGTGAGGAAACTGAGGCTCAGAGAGGTTCTTGTCTCAGTTGAAATAGGGATTTAAATTCAGGACGGAGTTCTTGTGCTGTGCAAACAGTTAACACGCTCAGGTGCTAACCAAAAGGTTAAAGGTTTGGGTCCAACCTGAGGTGCCTCAGAAGAAAGGTCTAGCGACCTGCTTCTGAAAAATCAGCCACTGAAAACCCTATGGAGCGCAGTTTTACTCTGCCACACATGAGGTTGCCATGAGTCGGAATCGACTCGACAGCAACTGGTTTTAAACTCAGGCAGGGCGGTTCACAGGGACCTGTAACTCACACCAGCAGTTCTCAACTGCAGTCCCTCACCCACAGCATCAACCATCGCCTGGGAACTTGGATATTCTCAGGCCCCACCCCAGACCTGCTGAATCAGGAACTGGGGCCCAGCAATCTGTGATTTTACAAGCCTTCCCGGGGATTCTGGTGGAAGCTAGAGTTGGAGGGCCACTGGTCTCCGCTCTGCCACCGCTGGAGGTCTTGTGACTCCAGTTCCTTTGAGGGCCTCCTTCAGCTCTTAACCACTACACCACCAGGCTCTGCAAAGACTCAGGTGGGTCTGTCATTCAAACCCAGTAGCTATAAACAGGATGGCTTTTTAGCTCTTAACCACCCAGGGAACAGTTACTTTTTATCCAGGTTCCACAGGCAAAGGGCCGTTTCTGGATACGTGGGGAGCATTTGACATTTTCACATATTAGGAGTCTGTCCCTGAATGATCCTTACCGAATTGGTTGAAATTCCCCAACAGAAGACACATTAGTAATGGCAGCCGACTTCACTGCGGGTCATTCTGGCAGTCTGCCTGGAACCCTTGGGCCTCCTTTAATTTGTGAATTAATTAACATATGGCTGGGTAGGAAAGCTTGGCTTTAAAGGCGTGCAAATCCATTATTACCAGCATCATCCACTTAAGCAATTTGGAAGGGAGGGAATGGCTTCCCTCCAGGGCACCCCTACCCTACCGCACAGTGTGGGGAGGAAGCTGCTCTCCTCTTCCTGCTTGCCTTCTCTTCCTCTCAGCTGCTCCTAACATGCAAGCCCTTTGCTATTCTCCATCAGATTTTTGGTAAGGAAATGGGGGTGGGTAGGGGCCTTTGGAGCCCTGGTGGCATAGTGGTTAAGAGCTTGGCTGCTAACCAAAAGGTTGGCAGTTCAAATCCACCAGCTGATCCTTGGAAACCCTATGGAGCAGTTCTACTCTGTCCAACAGGATTGCTATGAGTTGGAATTGACTTGACAGCAATGGGTTTGGTTACATTTTGGTTCTGTTTTTGGTAGGAGCCTTATGAAGGAATCCTGGTGGTGCAGTGGTTAAGCACTCAGCTGCCAACCAAAAAGTCTGAAGTTTGAACCCACCAGCTGCTTAGCGGGAGAAAGATGTGGCAGTCTGCTTCTGTAAAGATTACAGCCTTGGAAACCCTATACACAGGGTCATTATGAATTGGAATTGACTCCCCGGCTATGGGTTTGGTTTTTTGGTTTAGGGGTCTTATAGGTTTCCTGGGTGGTGGAAGAGGTTAAGCACTCAGCAACTAACCAAAAGGTTGGCAGTTCGAATCTATCCGAAAGCATCTCAGAAGAAAGGCCTGGTGATGTGCTTCCAAAAACTCAGCCATTGCAAACCCTACGGAACACAGTTTTACTCTGACACGGGGTCACCATGAGTCAGAACTGATTCAATGGCAACTGGTGAGTCTTACGGAGAGAAAGGTCCTAGTGTCAGCGCCTCTCCACCCTTGAATGGGAGTGGAGTCGAGTGGTCAGCAAATACTCCTGCAGTCCTCGAGCTGGGAGTGAAGCCGAGTGGTCAGCAAATACTCCTGCAGTCCTTGAGCTGGGAGTGAAGCCGAGTGGTCAGCAAATACTCCTGCAGTCCTTGAGCTGCTCCCTCCTTTGACCAGATACCCAGTTTCCTCCCAGCTTCCCATCCAGCCTACCTCCTTTAGTATCTCTTCAGGCCACAAATCCAAGAAGCCACTTGGCACATTTTCTGATGCAGAGGTACCTGGCCCAGCTCTTATATAAATGCCCATGAAAATCAAACCATAATTAAAACAGGAAAGAAACAGCACAAGGTAGGATTTGTAAACTTGTGAAACTGATTTTTTTACATGTGGTCTGTGGAATCTATTTCATTAATTGTGATCACTCTTCATATATTTCCCTTGGCCTCATTTGATTTAAAAAAAAAATGTGTGTAGGAAAACCTACAATTGTTTAACACTTTGTGGTTCTTTGCAAAATACCTTTGCATCTGTGATCTCATTGGTTTTTCTAATAATCCCATGAGATGGCTAGGTCTGATCTTATTATACTCATATTACAGGTAAGAAAAATGAGACTTATAGGGATTAAGTGACTCATTCAGGGTAGATGGTGGCAGACCTGGACTAGAACCTCAGCTCTGAGTCACAGATCAATGATAGCAAATCTTCCTTCATAGAGCTGCTGTCTGATTGATGGGCCATTTTTGTTTAGGGAACAGGACTATATTTGCCTTCACTGTAATTAACCTTGTTCAGGTACTAGGATTGGCTTCATTCTACAACACTCTCTACCGAAAGAAATCAATGTTCATCAAATACTGTTCAGATGAAAGGACTTAGAGCACTCACATTCCTTGGTGTTGGGAGGGGCCAGGAGGCAGGAGTAGCAGACCATGCCGTAGATGTTCCTGGGTCTATTTTCCAACATGTAGTAGCTATAGGGAGGGCAAGACAAGACAAACCAGAGCACAAGTGAGTCGGGCACCACCACAGGCAACTGAATAGGCCCCATCTACTGACCAAGATAACATCATGACCATTTGGCACGCTCTACAATCAAAACATTTAGTCGGGCATGAAACAGACACGGCGGGAATTGGGAGCCCTGCCAAACCAGCAGCCCATTTTGACCACTGAGTTTCCATGGAGGCTCTCAGCATGTCTTGAAATGGAATATTCTTTTTCCAATGTTGGGCCAGTTTGGGCCTTTCTGTTAATCTCCTCCACTTTTTGGGTCCTTTCACTGGTGGATTTGTTTAGTGCGTTGATATCATGATCATCTTCATCAACATCATCTACCAGGAACATCTGAGTGTCCACTATGTGCAGCCCTGTTTAGTTCTCTGGATATCTTGCCCACCAGGGAACCACACTCCCTTGGAGGAAGAAGATTCCCTCAGCAAGAGCCCCTTCTCAGAGCCCGTAGTGTGCTAGGATTATTGGGAAAGTGTCTATGAGCCTCTGGAGCATTCATAACTACCTACCACCTGAATGTTTGCTGAATGAAAGCGCAAGGAGCTGCCCGTGAGAGTGGGGCTGCTGTAGACAGACAGCTGCAGTGTCCAGAGAGGTCAGTGCAGATGGCTTTAAAGACAGCCTGAAATACAGTCAAGTCAGAATTCAAATCTGTTTCCTTCCTCCTCAGGAAGTACTTGACCAGAGACACCTGTATAACTGCCAGAGTTCAGATTGGGGACTACACACTCTTAAAGAAAAGGACACATTCTTCACAGTGAAAAAAATTGAAATCTTTTACCCCAGAATGATGCTCTGTTCTGTCTTTCAAGTTTCCTAGTGTCAATAGGCCATCCCAAGGGCTTAAGTCCTACCCCTCAGAATGTCCTCCCCAGACAGCCTTGCCACTGTGTGTCTGCATTCTCTGCAAGCCAACCACCACCTGCCTGTGACTTGGCAGTCCCTGCTGACATCTCTGTCCTCTCTCCTGGGTTCACAACACTGGCTCCTTTCTAAATGTAGGCTTTGGTGCTTATCTTGGCATGTGCCAGCTTTCTGTAAATGTATATTCAGCAATGATCATGGAGGCCATTTATCACATAGTGAGAAGTCGATTAAATAAAGTGAGTTGGTACCAACATTTTCCGTTTATTACAATTCAAAAAATGAAAAATTCTCTCTCAGCTATTGGATTTTTTCTGTGGTTGTTTTTTAATCTCTTTTTTATTGGTCATGTACAACCCAGGTACTCTGCTCATTGCAGTGGTAACCAGCCACTCGGAGCAGTGGTGCTCATGGAGGGTGTGTGACGGGGAGGGTCTTTGGACTCCAGCCTTCATGAGTTTGGACCTTTACCAGTAACATTATGATAATAATTGCCTGCCTTTCCTCAAAGCCTTATCCTCAGATCCCTGTGTATCTTGTAAACATTAATTAACCAATCTCAAAACACCCCTCAGAGAAGCCACAATAGCTAGTTTTACAGTTAAGCCTTCTAGAAAAAGCCTCTCTCAAACATAGTCTTCTGCCACCATCCATAAACCATTTCTTTGCCTGTGGAAGAGGAAGCAATACTAGGGCAAGTGGTAGATCAGCTCTCCCAGCAGAGGCTCATATGTGAGTAGGCCTAAGTAGGGTGACCCTGGCAGCCAGGTCAGCCAGTGCCAGTCCCCACTCACAGCTTTTTATACCCAGATCAAATATCGCCACTTATGTGACACCTTTCAGGCATGAGTTACTCCTCCTCTCTACTTCCACCTCCATTGCATTCTCTCTCCTGCCATATTGTAATTTTCTGTTACCCCTCCACTGTGAGGTCCTCGAGGGCAAGACTTGGTCATAGCTATATTTCTAGTACCTACTACTGAGGAAGGAATCCTTGGGTAGTGAAAATGATTAAGCGCTTGACTACTAGCCAAAAGGTTGGGGGTTCAAACCTGCCCAGAGGTGCCTTGGAAGACAGTCCTGGCAATCTGCTTCCCAAAGATCACAGCCTAGGAAACCCTATGGGGCAGTTCTACAGGTAGTCCTTGATTTATGAAAGGATTCTGTTCTGATGTTGTAAGTCGATTCTGACGTAAGTCGAATGTTTCTTTTTTTTTTTTAATTGTTATTGTCTTTTATTATCAGTATCTTTATAAATCCAATTTTTATCTGTCTTTAGGGGTTGGAAATATTACATAGAAACTTACAGATAATGATAACATCAGCAAATTACATGCTGCAACCTTGTATGTAGTACATGTTACTAATGATAGATGTACAAAAAACAAACAAAAAAAAAAACACCCCAGACAGCTGTAAGTATGCTTCATCGTAACTCAAATATGTCATAAGTCGGGGACTATGTGTACCCTGCACACATGGGGTCGCCATGAGTCAGGGTCACCATGAATCGGAATCGACTTGAAGGCAACCAACAAAAACACCAACAGTACCGAGGAAGGTTGATTCTTGGTCAATATTGGTTGGATAAAAAAAGAAATGACACCTAGTTCTTCTCCATAGAAGTTAAAAATGCAGACACTGAGAATCCTTGAGGGGCATTTTGTGCATCTTTTTTTCCTTTAAAAGCAGAGCCACAGCTATGACCATCCTGCTTTCCGGTGCTGAGCTGACCATGTCAAGGCAGCACTGTCTTGGATGAACATCCAACGCCACCCTGGTGGAGGGTGCAAAAGGTTTTTGCTTTAGAACTGGGTTCCTACCAGCATGCTTGACGTCTGACTGGTTCCCAGGGTTACCGTATTTGTGCACTCCACAAAGGCACCTGGTGAGGGAGCCCAGAGGGGCGCTGGCTCTGCTGCCTTTTTTTCTCAAAGGTACCAGACTGCATTCATCCAGACAGTGCCTGTTTAAAAGTCCTACAAGGGCTCTGAATAGGCTAGCGACTATACCCTCCTACGAAGACAGGGTGCTTGGACCAAGTGATGCAATGTACTAAAGAACTTAGCAAAGAAACAAAATTGAAAGGCTATCAATTTTTAAAAAAATATATTGGCTCCAGGAGGCTGTTACCTAATTGTACCAGTTAACTCAGCATGAGTGGTAAGTACCTCCAGTAAGGAGAAGGCACCATTTCTTAGCCCATATTGCTGTACAGAGCATTTTTTAATGTTACGTTTTTCTCTTTAGGCTCAACCTAAACTCTTCACGGTGTAGTTTATACCCATACCTCTCTTCCTGGGCTAGACAGGAAGGGAGAATAATTGCTTATCTTCTTTCACATGACATATTTTATCAACTTGATGCAGGTTGTTCATATAGGGATCTGTGGCCCCACTAAGAAGTTTAAAATCCCTCATCTTTCTGTAAAAAATTTCCTACTCTCTGATCCATATTTTGACTTTTCCCCAGTTATTTAGTTCTTTTTTTCAGTTCTTCATGGGTTGATTAAAGACATAATTCAGTTTAAATTGGGTCTTCAGAATCTTCTGTTGAGGGACTGACTTCCTCCAAGTTAATAGGTATAGATCTTTCCCAAAGATTTTCCTTCCTCAGGGGTCCTACATTAAACCTGTCGAAAATGTGCTTGTAATTGACCCCATTGGATCATCAGATGCTTACTTTTCCCTCTAAAATGTTGACATGTAAAACCAGGCATTGTTGTTCTTCTCTCTCCTAGCCATCCTAGAGCCTCTTATTTGAAGAGAATGGACGTGGCACGGCATACAGCCAGCAGAAGCTTCTCCAGTGGGTAAGATGATGCCCTGGAGGAGGTTATGAAATCAGACCTCTTTGCTCTTCCCCTTCTCATGTTTTTGTTCCCTGGTCCTCCCACACAGACCTTTCTCAACAGGAAAGCCCCCACATACTGCCCATTGTTCAGCGAAGTGTCTCAGCCACAGACTGACACACAGCGCAGCCTGCAAAGAATAAGGAAAGAGTGCCTGCCAAACCACAAGGGGGGATAAAGGGCCAAAGAAACCAAACTCGTGGCGTTACAAAGACAAATACAAGGTAGTCTGCATCCGCAGCCTGATAACCACATGGATTCAGGAAAGAAAACAGCCTTTCATTGAGCTAATAATGCCAACTTGCCAAAATTCCTTGTAACTCTCCCCTGAGACATAGCATGAGAGAGTCATTTTGTTCTCCAAACCTAGAGCATGTAATAGGAAGTGAGAAGCCTTCAGGGACCTCCCCTGATAAAGCATTGAGAGGAAGTTCACTAGAAAGAGGGCGTTAGCCAATGAATGGAGGTTGGGGAACAGGAGATAAACAGGGTTATCTTCTATTTTGGTGGCCTTGGGCTTGTTGCTAACCATGGTGGCATAGTGGTTAAGAGATACGGCTGCTAACCAAAATGTTGGCAGTTCAAATCCACCAGGCGCTCCTTGGAAACCATATGGGGCAGTTCTACTCAGTCTTATAGGGTCACTATGAGTCGGAATTGACTCAATGGCAAATGATTTGGGCTTGTTGTTGTTGTTAGGTGCTGTAGAGTCGGTTCTGACTCATAGTGACCCCATGTACAACAGAACAAAACACTGCTCGGTCCTGTGTCATCTTCGCAATCATTGCTATGTTTGAGCCCGTTGTTGCAGCGACTGCGTCCATCCATCTCCTTGCGGGTCTCCCTCTCTTTCACTGACGCTCTACTTTATCAAGCATGATGTCCCTCTCCAGGGACTGGTCCCTGCTGATAACATGTCCAAAGTACATGAGACAAAGTCTCTCCATCCTCGCTTCTTAGGAAGATTCTGGCTGTACTTCTTCCCGGACAGATTTGTTTATTCTTCTGGCAGTCCATGGTATATTCAATATTCTTCACCAACACCATAATTCAAAGGCATCAATTCTTCTCTTGTCTTCCTTATTCATTGTCTAGCTTTTGCACGCATATGAGGCAATTGAAGATACCATGGCTTGGGTCAGGCGCATCTTAGTCATCAAAGTGACATCTTTGCTTTTTAACACTTTAAAAAAGGTCTTTTGCAGCAGATTTGCCTAATGCAATACATTGCTTGATTTCTTGACTGCTGCTTTCATGGGCATTGATTGTGGATCCAAGTAAAATGAAATACTTGACAACTTCAGCCAAACTGAAAATTGACTCTGTATATGGCTTTCACATCAGTGGAGCAGTGTGAAGAGGCACTGAGATGCAATGTTGAGATGTGTCTCCCTGCACAGTATCTTTCTTACAGTTATTGGATGGTATGGTCCTTGTGTTGTCTGGCCCAGGTGGTGAAGATAAAGTGTGGAGTGAGCAGTTTGCTGTTCTCACAGAGGTGGGGAGGGAGTTCCTCAGGATTTCAGAGCTGGAAAGATCCTTTTCAAAGCACTTACACTAGTTTCCCACTAACTGTACAGGATTGCTGACAGAAGGTCATCCATTTTTGTTAGGATCCTTCTAGAGGCAGGGAGCTCACCACAATTGCATTGCTGAACTTTAGTAAGTAGATGCTTTCTGGGAAATGCCTTAGGACCAATCAAATTACCTCCATTGCCACAGAATCAGCCTTTCTAATGACCGAGTGGACACCTTGCCTATGGAAAGCATGGGTTGCTGAATTAGTCCCAGGTCTTATTTTTTCTGAGTCCTTGGGTGGTGCAGACAGTTAATGTGCTCAGCTGCTAACTGAAAGGTTGAAGGGTCGAGTTCACCCGGAGGTGCCTCAGAAGAAAGGCCTGGTGATCTACTTCTGAAAAATCAGCCATCAAAAACCCTATGGAGCACCGTTCTACTCTTTCACACACATGGGGTCACCATGAGTTGGAATCAACTCGATGGCAACTGGTGGTGGCTTGTCCTTTCTGGCTAGAAATTCTCTGTGGATCCAAATAAAAATGAAACAGGCTACTCAGTGGACATATTCACTGCACTTTTTTGACCATCTGGAACAAAACCATGGCTGAATTTCACAGAATACTGATGTGATGCATTGGTGGGTCTGAGCAGTGGATGAATCAGAGACAGGAATATGATCAAGGAGCTCCATTTTCCACCTCCCACTCCTCTCACTCTACAAGGCTGCCTCACTGGGTGAGCCTATCTGGACCAGTGGCTTCCATCACCATTAATGCCTCGATGACTTCCACATCCTTATCCTCAGCCTGGATCTCTACCCTGAGCTTCATGCTTGTTTATCCATCTGTGTGTTAGATACTTTGTCTGGATGTCCCACCCATAAACCCGTTGCCATCGAGTTGATTCTGACTCATAGGGACCCTACAGGACAGAGTCAAACTGCCCCATAGGGTTTCCAAGGCTGAAATCTTTATAGAAGCAGACTGCCACATCTTTCTCCTGCAGAGTGGCTGGTGGGTTCGAACTGCCGACCTTTCAGTTACTAGGCGAGTGTTCAACCACTATGCTACCAGGGCTCCTTAGATGTCCCATAACCACCTCAAATTCCACACATACAAATCTGAACTCCTTATCTTCCATCCTCCTCCACCTCCCCACCAAAGCCTCCCCTTCCTCCGGTATTCCACATCTTAGCAAATGGTGCCTCTGTCCACACAGACATCTCCTTTCTCCACTGCCCCCATCCACATGCACTCAATCTGCAACCTCAGTCAGAGCTATCTTCTGACTAGCTCTTAAATTCTTCCTCTCTCCTCAACTCCCAATGCTTCCTTCTTTGCTTCAGTTCTTGCCACTCCCCACAGGGATGGTTCTAACCTCATTCCTGGTTCCCTGGCTCCAGTATCTTCCCTGCCCAACCCGTTCTCCTCACTGCTGCCAAGGTTATTATTGTTCTAATGCACAATCTATGTCTGACTATGTCATACAACAGCTTAAAAGTTGATAACTCACAACCAAATTCAAGCTAAAGATTCAAGTTTTCAGCATTGTTTTCAAGAGTCCTTTTCCATCTGGCCCCTGTCCACCTCTAACTTCTCTACACCCCTGTATACTGTGCATCTTTCACTTTGACCATAGGGACCCACTCACATTTCAGGCTGCCCACACCTTTGAGCTTTAGACTGAGCATCTCCACTTGGAGAGCTCTGTCCTATTTCTTAACCTGACTAACTCCTACTTATCCTCTAAGACTTGGCTCCAGCATCACCTGGAAGTCTTCTTTGATCCCTCCCAACCCCACCCCCTCAACCATGAAGTGAGGGGTTCCCTCTTCAACTTCTAGAACACCATGTGTGCATCTTACCACACTACACCGCAGTCATTGATTTTACTGTCTCTCTCCTCCCCTGAAAAGAGAGGAATCATGTCTTTTTTCTTTGGCTCACTAGTACCTACCTGGTAAGGTCTTAATTCAAGGGTTTATGAAAATAAATACTGGAGCCATTGTGTTAAGAATGTTGGGCCAGACACTCACACTGGGAGAGTCCCAAAATAAGTTTAATTTTTGCAAAGAGGGGTATTTCTTTCCTAGGTGGGCATGGCAAGATGTGCATACTCTTCCTTGGCACATCTGTAGTTAGTCCATGAAAGCTGTGCATTTCTTTCATTCATCATGTATCTGCACCAATAAAAATCAATCAAGATAAAGTCCTAGGAAGCATGTAAGTTATTGGAGAATGAGTCTAGCCATCTCATGTCAAGGTTCTATTGAGTTTCCCTCATTCAGAGCCCAGCACAGTGTCTGCACAGAGCAGTTCCTCAACAAATGCTTGTGCAGTTGGGTGTGAATGCATCGATTCTGTTTCTTCCAACACCTATGCTTCTTTTGGTGGGGGCCCCACAACAAAATAACCTCAACAAACGGAGTTAAAGACTACCAAACTACAGAAATTTATTTTTGTTTTATTTCCCAGAATAGTCTAGTATTTTCCCTGGTAATAGCTATCTTTGGGGCCCTGGTGGCACAGTGGTTAAGAGCTCAGCTGCTAACCAAAAGGTCGGCAGTTTGAATCCAGCAGACGCTCCTTGGAAATCTTATGGGGCAGTTCTACTCTGTTCTATAGGGTCACTATGAGTTGGAGTTGACTCAGCGGCAAAAGGTTTGATTTTTTTTGTATAGTTATCTGCTTTTTTTGTTGTTTCATATCTAAAAATAAGATTCTGCTATAAGGTCCCCCTACTTTATTAACAAATATGTTTGAATCGTACTCTGTGTCAGGGATATTTACAGGGGGTTACCTAATAGATATTTGGATATATGGGTCTGTACCTCCAGAAGTAGGCTTACTATTATTATGAATGTCCTTTTAAGAGACAAGGATGCGTGGTTGTGTTGCCTGTCCTGTGAACACTGGTGATGGGACTAAGGCATCCTAGACCCCACACGTGTGGCTCCCTCTCTGCTGAGCTGCCCCTCATGGAACGGGGTAAGCGACTGGAATTACTCTACATGGCAGGCCTGCAGGTGGGGTGGCCATCAGAGAGAGATGATCGCAGAGGCCATGGAAATGGATGCTTCCCAGTAACAAGTTTGAACTAAGGTTATTTTCCGGGAGTTCAAAATATTATAAAGGCATTTAAATATTTAGGCTTTTAAAAGATCTAAAATATTTTAAAGTGTTATTCACTTTCAATCTATTCCTAAGGTAGTGGGTCTTTCTGACTTTTTTGTTCTTCCTTCTTCTAATAGGCTAATGCCCAGTGTTCTCTTGGGCTAGTAATGCCCCACGTCCTTCTTATTTTCTTCCTCCCCTTAACTGGATGCAGTGGTGCAGAGGTAGAACATGCACAGGCACTTTGTAAAGCGTAAGGTGCCGTTCACACCTCTGCCACCCCCACCGCTGCAGCCACCTCCACACCATCCCACCCACCCTGCCAACCATCAGTGCCTTCCGTTTCCAGCTGGAGTCCTTAGAAAGACTAACGCTTTGTGCTTACTAGAGGGGGTAGCAAGAGCTGGCTTAGTAGTTACTAGTTGTCAAGACCGTATTTCCCTGGTCCCAAGCAGAGCCTGCCAAAGTGTCCTGCCTGGAAAAAGGAAGATTTCATTTTTCCGGCTTTTAGGCAAATGGCCTTTTCACTTTGTTTTTTTGGAAGATTTCTGATACATAACAGAATTGTGGTGGAAGTGCAGGTATTGTATGACTCAAATATTCCTATTGGGAGCTTTCACCCTCAGTTTTTCCAGAATACAAACAATACTGAAAATAATGCTTTTGTGTAACCAAAAAACCAAACCCGTTGCCACTGAGTCAATTCCAACTCATAGTGACCCTATAAGACAGAGTAGAACTGCCCCATATGGTTTCCAAGGAGCAGCTAGCGGATTTGAACTGCTGACTTTTTGGCTAACAGCTGAGCTCTTAACCACAGTGCCACCAGGGCTCCAGTGCTTTTGTATAGGATTGTAGTTTTCTTTTTTCCAAAGTAATTCACATGTCTTATCTCATTTTAAGTATTCAACAAATTTGTCTATTTGGGTAGTCAGAAGCTATTATTACTAATGTCCTTTTAAGAGACAAGGACGCCTGGTTGTGTTGCCTGTCCTGTGAACATTGGTGATGGGACTAAGGCATCCTAGACCCCATACGTGTGGCTCCCTCTCTGCTGAGCTGCCCCTCATGGAACGGGGTGAGCGGCTGGAATTACGCTACATGGCAGGCCTGCAGGTGTTCCGGAGCCTGGGTTCCCCGGGAGTCCTCAGAATGTGACATTCAGGGCTTTCTACAGCAAGGTCCTGGATGAGGCCCAGCAGCACCCCATGCTTACCCAGGGAGACAAGGCCCACACTCGGCGTCATTCTCCATGTCCCCCGGCGTCAGCACAGTGGCCCGGAAGAAGCCCTCACAGTCTTTGTGGCGCCTGCATATCTGGTAGCCTCCTTTGGAAAACTTCTCTGCTGGGCACGGGACACAGGCATAGTCGTCATCTTTGGCGCCGTAGCCACAGGACTGATGGGACGAGATGGACATGGGAAGTGTGACTGCAGTGGCCTAGTCCTCAGTAATTCAGACAGGTGGACCATGGGCAATGACACTGGCTGTTTCCAGAAGCTACTCTTGCTGGGCCCTTGCTGCCTGACTTATCACCCACATCACCAGCTGTAGTCCTGCGCAGCTTTCCTTCCCCTGGTGCTTCCCAGCTTGAGTCACTGCCCGTCTTCTGAGCACTCCGAGATCAGTTAAGCTAGCTACTACGATATCCTGGTAAGTCGTCGACTTAGACTCTGGTGTCTAACTTTTCTCAGCTATCTGCCGTTGCTGTCTAGTCCACCCCGACTCACGGTGACCCCATCTGTGTCAGAGTAGAACTGTGCACCACAGGGTTTTCAGTGGTTGATTTTTCAGAATTAGATCACCAGGCCTTTCGTGTAAGCCGCCTCTGGGTGAGTTCGAACCTCCAACCTTTCGGTTAGTAGCTGAGTGTGTTAACAGTTTGCACCACCCAGCGACTCCCGCAGCTATCTACAAGAACCCCAGATCTTGAAATCATGGAAGCTTTTCTTAGCTCTTAACAGAGCATATATGCTCAGGCTTCCCAAAGGGGAAGAGAGATGCAAAATTCAGGAATAAATATATGCTGTTATTGGAGGACGTTTCAGCTATGCTTCTGATTCAGATAATCTGAAACACATTTAACCAAAGATGAATAGGAAAGTAACTATCCTCTAAAAATATTAAAAATAACTCCGAGAAACATGTTTACAGATGCTCCGCTGTCTCCCTCTGAGGTAAGCCCTGTCCTTGTATGCAGTAAAGTTCAAATCATTCAGTCTCAATGTCTAATGACTACAGAAGACTGCTTTTATTTGCCTTGGTGACCATACATAGATCAAGGCAAGCTGAGGATGCTGTTACATGCAGAAGAAAGCATCTCCCTCGACCTAGCCATTTAGGTTCACCCAGGCCCAGGAGTGGTGTGGGCCAGTCCGGCTGGGGCAAGCGGCGTCCTTACCATGTAGGGCTCCTCCCCTGGCCCGCACTGTGGACACTCATGGCAGAGCCCTGTGGTCTGGTTGTAGTACTCATTCTCGCCGCAGTTTGAGTATTCGGCTCTGGCTGAGTACATCAGACACACCTGCCATGAGAAAGAGGGTCATTTTTAGCCTCCATGCGTCATTAGAAACACAAAATACTTCCTCAGGGTCAGAACCTAGGGAGCCCAGAGATGGTTTATAGGAAATAAGGTACCTCCTAGAGGACAGGGAACCCCGCTCCGTGTTTAGTAAGTTGGGTTTTTGGTGCCCAATCAATCCCCAGTAATTCGTATCTAGTAATCAGAGCATGGCCACCCTCTGCTTCCCACCAGTAGGTCTCTCTCATGCTTCCACCCCAACCCAAATGATGTCTTCCTCATCCTTGCTGCCAGGAACCCCACCCCATCTTCAAGGTCTGCTTCAATTTCCTTTTCACCCATGTTATGGATTTAATCGAATCCCCCCCAAAATATGTGTTGTAAATATTAACCCATATACACATGGATGAAACCCTAGTGGCATAGTGGTTAAGAGCTATGGGCTGCTAACCAAAAGGTCGGCAGTTCGAATCCACCAGATGCTCCTTGAAAACCCTTTGGGGCAGTTCTGCTCTGTCCTATAGGGTCGCTATGAGTCGGAATTGACTCGATGGCAGGGGGTTTAGTTTTTGGTTCATACATGTGGATGTAATCCCCTTTGCGAATAGGATTTTCTTTGTTATGTTAATGAGACCATATCAGTGTAGCGTGTGTTTTAAGCCAATCGCTTCTGAGATATCATAAAAAGGAGCAGATTAGGCACAGAAGCAAGGATGCACAGAAAGCGAAGACAGATGCCACGGCACATGAAGATTGCCAAGGAACCAAGGGACGGAAGCTGAAAAGAGACAAGGACTTTCCCCCAGTGCCGACAGAGACAGAAAGCTTTCCCCTGGAGCTGGTGCCCTGAATTTGGACTTCCAGCCTCCTAACCTGAGAGAAAATAAATTTCTGTTGGTTGAAACCACCCACGGAGCCCTCGTGGCACAGTGGTTAAGAGCTTGGCTGCTAACGAAAAGGTTGGCAGTTTGAATCCACCAGCCGCTCCTTGGAAACCCTATGGGGCAGTTCTACTCTGTCCTATAGGGTCACTATGAGTTGGAATCAACTTAATGGCAACAAGTTTTTTTTTTTTTGAAAGGCACACACTTGTGGTCTTTCTGTTATAGCAGCACTAGATTACTAAGACACCCCATGAAACCTTTCTTTCATTCTCTCCAAGTTATGGATCTGGCTGCTTCCTCCAGGAGCATCTAAGCCAGTGCAGCTCCTTCCAATGCAGTAGATAAGTCTGTTGGCAGTTGGGCCTTGTGGTATTATCTTAATCTCTCCATCAAGAAGAAAGCCCAGTGAGGGCTGGAAATGGGTCGTTTTCAACTGTGTGTCCCCCATACGGCTTGGTGCTCATCCAATATTCATTGAGTTGTGTGTATCTCAACACAAATAAGCATTTAACGATGTTTGTCTCCGTGGCTGTATAATAAAGAGACCTACCATTTAAATATGTTTAATTTGAACCATGGACTGTGTTCAGTGCTTTAGAGGCATTTTCTCTTTTAATTCTTGCAAGAACCCTGTGAGAGAGGTGCTATTATTAGTATTCCCATTTTACAGTGGTAGAAACTGAGGCTCAGAAGACTAAGGAACTGGTCCACAGTCATATAGCTAATAAGGACATAGCAGGGAATGGAAGCCCAAGCTCTTTACCACCAGCTCAGACGCAGGGCCGATCCTCTCCCCACGGCCAAAGACGGCTCAGTGAGTTTGCAAAACTCAGCTGAAATGGTGGGTCAGGTGTGTGTAGCAGCTCCGCGTTCTGACACACTTACCACCAGGACAGGGAGCCAATTTACAGTCCCCTGCGTGGCCATCCTTTCCTGCGGGTTCACCTGCAAAGACACACTTCATCAGCACCAGGTGGGCACTAGGAGGCTGCTCTTGTGGCAGAGCATCTGCCCTTCTCTAAATGCACACAGCGCAGGCCCTGGCCTTCCAGGAGCAGCGCCACGCCCCGGGGGCCATGCCCAGCCCCGCCCCTGCACAGTGGGCACTGAATGAATGCCCCTCCTCCCCCAAATCCTTGGGTCCACCTGCCTTCAAGGAAAAGGTGGCTTCCTCATGGGTGTGATCCACTGGTTTTTGTGTTCCTCTCACCACAAAGTGGGGCGGGGAACAAATATACCCTGAAGGAAAAGGCAGATTTTAAGCTGAATCCTGGTCCCAGGCACCTTGGGCTGACTCCATGGCCCTCACCCAGCATCACACCCATTCCTGGGAAAGCGCCTCAGAGAAGAAGATCCCAGAGCACGTTGATGGGCCTATTGTTAAACCCTGGGGTTAATGACTAATTGTTTAATGTGCTCAGAGAGCTTTGAAGAGGCCAGACCTTACAAAAGCTTTAAGTATGGGCGTGCTTTAGGCGCCCTCCTGATCTGTGGCTTCCTTGCATAAGAGAGGTTCCAGGACAACAACAGGACTCCTGGAGACACTGCCAAGTGTAAGAATCTGGTCCAGCCCTCCATTTACCTCCCTGTTCTTCCAGCCCTCATGTAAGTTTTTCAACAAGGAAGCTTTTCTCTCTTTATGTTAAGAATGGGTCATCCATCAAAGTAATTAAGAAAATGTTACGAGTCCACCTGCTTAATTTTACAATTGAGACAACTGAAGCCCAGAGAGGTTAAGTGATTACCCAACTAGTTAATGGACACAGCTAGTTAATGGACGAAGGATGACTACAGCCTCGGTTTTCTGACGCTTTCTATCAACTGCTACATTAGGGTATTACTTTGAAGGAGGAAGTGTTATTTTTTTCACTTTCAGAACGGGAGAGCTGTGTTTCTGACTCAAAACAGTCTTACCCGGGGAGTCTGGGTATTAGCCCGGCAGTCCAAAGAGAGAAGATGTACTCACAGGAGTGCCTAGATTCCTCAATCGCATACTTTGTCACTGTTGCCTAGCTTGCTCTCTTCCAAAGACGGATTTTGTGGGGAACCCTCCCAGAATCAACCAGTAGCACTGAGCAGAAGTCTAAACGGGCCTTGGAAAATCTCCCAAGAACTTTTACCCCTGAATTCTCTTGACCTTAGTGAGCCACCATTGGTCACAAGAACCAATAACTCCCGATACCACACACAAAATACTGTGGGGTAGCTCAAAGCAGGAGACCATGAGGAATAGGATAGCCATTCTTTTTTTTTTTTTTTTTAGGAGAAATGTTCTGAGCTTTGTTCCTGTAATATCTTAAAGGCATTAGGCAGAAAAGCAGCCAAAAGACCATTTACTGGAAATAAAGAAGTTAAATTGAAGAAAGAGAGGAGGACTGTGTAGGTTGGGAGGTGGACAAGGTCTGGAAGCTGGCAACCATCTCAAACTGATCTGAAGGGAGCCCCAGGATGCTAGCGAGTGAGGTGCCCAGGGGACTGGGTGGAGAACGAAGCTCCTCCAGAGTAGAGACGTGGTCTCATTCTTTTCTGACTTCCTGTCATGGATTGAATTGTGTCCCCCAAAAATATCTGTCAACTTGGCTAGGTCATGATTCCCAGTATTGTATGATTTTCTACCATTTTGTAATCTGATATGATTTCCCTATGTGTTGTAAATCCTATCACTATAATGTTAATGAGATGGATTAGTGACAGTTATACTGATGAGATCTGTAAGTTTAGATAGTGTCTTAAGCCAATCTCTTTTGAGATATAAAAGAGAAGTGAGCAGAGAGACGGGGGACCTCATACCACCAAGAAAGCAGCACCGGGAGAAGAGCGCATCCTTTGGAGCAGGGGTCCCTGTGCCTAAGAAGCTCCTCAACCAGGGGAAGATTTATGACAAGGACCTTCCTCTAGCCAAGAGAGAGAGAGAACGCCTTCCCCTGGAGCCAGAGCCCTGAATTTGGACTTCTAGCTTATTAGACTGTGAGAAAAAAAATTTCTCTTTGTTAAAGCCATCCACTTGTGGTATTTCTGTTACAGCAGCACTCGATGACCAAAACACTCCCCCAGGACTTAAAGTTTTGCTCAGTGAATTTTTTGAAGAAAGAATACATATTTAGGAGACGCACGTAATATATAAATATGTAGAGAGAGGGGAGTGAGAGACAATATCTGAAGAGCTTCAAGTCTCAGCGGCTCGCAGCTTCTGCATGCCTTCCCTGAGGGCACACGAGCCACCTGTTTTGACTTCCGACTGTGGGGCAGCTAGCACCTGTACTTTCCATAAGAAGAGGTTTGATAAAATCCAGGAGGAGCCTTAAGATAACATGCTGATTTACAAAAGCAACAAACAAAACCCAACCAAACAAAAAATCCAGTGGAACATCAGTTTGGTGGAATACCGAGCAGGGGGCTCTGCCTACTTGAAGTAGAAGATTTCTGCCATACATTGCTGGATGAAGAAGAAAGCAGTGTACAGACTCATACATAAGAATGGTTCTGTGCTTGTATACGCCTAGAAACGGGTCTGGAATGGGTTCCACTAAACTTCCAACAAAGCTTTTCTGGCAGTGAGTGATGTAGGGTGGGAGTGACCAAGGACTTGAGGGAGAAATATGGGGGGCATTCACTTTTAATTTTCTACAGTGCTGTATTATCTGAATGATTTAAAATGAGTACATATTATTTCATAATCAGGAAAAAAAAGGCAATAAAAAAATTTTCACTTTGGGAAAAAAGATGCCTCTCTGATTGCCATAAGAACAGGTTTGGGTGATGTCTAAGTGGGTGGGAATTCCAGATGCTGAGGAAGGACATCCTGACAGATGATGGGGTGGGAAGGGGGAGAAGAGATTGTGCTTAAAGATTGTGGGGCCCTGGGGGCCCGGATCTTTCCATGGGCTGGTGCCGTTTGGCCCAGTTATCTTGGAAATGTCTCTCACTCGTTCAGTGAATGACACCAGCTGACATCTGAGGAAGGGCTAAATTTCTGAATCTCTTGCAGAGACAAATACTGCCTTTTTCCACTTTCTAGCACACAGCCTTTCTAGCACACAATGCTAAATTAACTGAGCCCCAAAGTTTGCCACTGAGAAACACTCAGTAGATCTAAGCAAGATGAAAGCTTCCTGCCACCCCATCTGTCAACTCGCTGGGTGTTTTCCTTCTAGCAATGGGGCAAGCCAGGGCAGGCCGTGAAGGGAGGCAGAGGGCGCCCAACCCACAGCCTCACCAGAGGGGAAGGGGAAGGTGGAAATAAAGGCCCAAAGGGAACCTAGGAACCCTCTCTCTCTCAGGCTCAATAGTCCCTGGGCTTTGCTTCAAGATGGTGGGGTTAGCAGAGGTGGGTTTCCATTGAGTCTGCACACAGGGCCAGAGGTTCTCCTGAAGAGAGGCTGTGGCTGGAGGCCTGCCAAGGAAAACATTAATGGTATCTAATTTAATTGACTTCTAATTATAGCCCAACCTTGGACCGCTTCCCTGTAAGTACCGAGAAGGGCTGGGCCTGCCTCACCGGAGAGTCACCCAGGAGCATGTGATGAAAGGCTCATTAGAAACGTTCCCAGGTACGCCCAAAGAGACAGAAAAGAAAAATAAACAAATATATAAAGCAAAACAAAAAGTCTGTGGCTTTGGGTTTATTTTTATTATCATTACTACTATTATTACTACCGGTTCCCCATGAAGGTCAGTGGGGTCAGGGAAAGGAGAAGAGTGTTGTGGCCTAGTTGTGATTCCGGTTCTGAAGCCTGACTTGCCTTAACAAAATGCAGTTCTGCACTCACAAGGCGAGCCCAGAAGTCTGAGCTGGTTGATCCGGCGGCTTCTGTGGAGGAGGCCCAGGCCCCTCAGGAGCTGGTGGGGTGGGCTTTGCTCTCAGTCAGGACCTCCTGTTTGTTTTATTTTGGGGATTTGCTAAGAAATCATCCCAAATCCCCCTTCTGTGCAGCCCTTCTCCCCCCATCACTGCCCAATGTCAATCCCAGAGCTGCAGGTGCTAAGGAGCTGAGTGGGGTATGCTCTCCCGCCTGGCAGCACAGTCTGAAAGCACCCCCCACCCCCGCATCATTATGACAGTACTGGGAAAATGGGGTGAAGGGCACTGAAATGTTGCTGCTAATTTGTGGAATTGCCCAGTTTGAGAATGATCCAGTTCAGGGGTCTGCAAACTACAGGTCCACAGGCTGAATCCAACCTGCCACCTGTTTATGTAAATAAAGTTTTATCGGAACACAGCCATTCCAGTTGGTTTAACTATTCCCTATGGCTGCACCTTGGGTGGTGCAAATGGTTAACGTGCTCAGGGGCTAACCAGAAAGTTGGCAGTTAGAGTCCACTCAGAGGTGCCTTGGAAGAAAGGCCTGGTGATCTGCTTCTGAAAAATCAGCCATTGAACACCCTGTGGAGCATAGCTCTACTCTCACAAACATGGGGCCGCCATGAGTCGGAATCAACTTGATGGCAACTGGTAAAATGGCGGCTTTCATGATGCAATGTCGGAGGTGAGTCAGTGCAGCAACGACTGTATGACCTGGTAAGCCTAAAATATTTACTAGCTGACCCTTTATAAAAAAGGCTTGCCAGACCCTGCCCAAGATTACTGCTTCTTCTCCCTTCCACCTACTCTCCACTTCTCTGCCTTTTGGTCTTTCCTTCTTCAACACTATTTCCACCTAGAATAACAACACAACAATAATAATAACTGCTTACAATTATTGAGCTCTGACCACTTATCAGGCACTGCTTTGCTCTAAGCCTTGCCACCGTCCTATGAGGTACGTACTATTCTTATCCACATTTTACAGATAAGCAAACTGAGGCACCCAGAGGCTGAATAACTTGCCCAAGACTTGACCCAGCCCTTGATCTTAATCATGACACTTTTTTCTATCTGGTTAACAGTTTCAAATCAGGAGTCAGAGGGAAGAACAGTCTGGAACTAT